TATAAAATTTATAAAATAAATAAAAATTTTAAAAACTATTTGAACACTAGACAACTTCCTTGGGTGATAGTACAGGTAGTTTTCCCAAATATTCATATTATATGTGAATACATGCACATATGTATTATATATAAAATATGAATATATTATATATGTATATAATATGAACATATAAACATATTTATTTATTTACTGAAGTGTATATGGACTGTAGGCCAGAGATGTGGGGGTGGATGGTGGTAAGAGTATTCACCAGAGACAGAGTGGGGAGCAGAATAGGCTGGTTGGGCCCTACCTGGTGGCTAAAGGGGTTAAAACACAGCAGTATGAAGCTATCGGCAGACACTACAAGGGTCTGAGTTAACCCACTTATTTTTTTTTTTAAGATTTATTTATTTATGCATACAAGAACAGGTACAGGCCAGAGGTGCAGAGGGTGAAAGGATTCACCAGAGACATAGTGGGGACAGAAAAGGCAGACTGAAATACACTGCTGAGGGGAGCAGCAGGTGAGATAAGAGAGGTGTGCTGTGCCATGGGAGTCAGCTCCCTGGCCTGGGAATGAACTCAAGCTGTCATGGTGATAGTGTGCTGAGACTTAACCCCTAGGGAGATTTAACCAACAGGGAGGCCCAATGCTCAGAGACCGCATAGAGACTGCTCACATTTCCTCCCCACAACTGAATTCTAGTCTATTCTAAAGTCTAACATTTCAACGTTGAAAGGAGTCTGGTTAGCCAAAGAAAATCTATAGCTTACCTTGATGATCCTTTTTGACCATCCATTGAAACCAAAGTAGTAATTTGCCAATTCTTGGCATTGGGAGCTGTTTAAGGGACGGGTCTGATGATGAAATGCCTTATGTCTGGTGCTGAGAAGAACCTAAAGAGATAAGAGACAGACCTAGAAATATCACCACCTGTTAGAGATTTATCAGTACCAGTTTCACAGAGTGTTTGAGAAGATAAAATAGGATAAACATTTTAAGCACAGTAAGCCCTAACTAAATGTTATTTTCAAGTCACAGTACTATTCTGCATCATTTCCAGGGTATCTGATAACTTGGAACATTTCCCTGACCTTTTATGGTGAAAGTGATGATGAAGTCAACTAAGGAAGCCCTGGAGAAACAAATTATAAGGTGTAGGTAAGCACAGGATATAAATTATTAAGATTGTTTCATTCAGTAGCTCCTGTGTAAGACTATGGCTTAAAGAGCAGCTAAAAAGAATCCGCCGTAAGGTAAGACCTTCCTCTGCGCCATCCTCTCCCCTAGTTATTAATATGCATGTCTAAATCTTATAAGCAACCAAAATAATTCATGTTATCTGTATTGCCAAGGCTCTTTGAGAATACAAATATTTCCAATGTTACTTATCTAGGTAACTTACACATTACAGTGGATTTCTTACATCATACACTCTTTAAATGTCTATTTCACTTTTAAACTGTGTAGTATATATATTCCTAAAATTGAAATAAAAGCCAAAGTAACAATAAATCTTTATTCATTTATTTGTGTAGTTTTATCAAATACTAGTTTATAAGCTTTTTAAGTGCTGAACGGAATCATCTGCAATGCATTGATTTCTGGAAACAGAAAAAGAGTTCTGAAAAAGCTATTTGAGAAAAATGATGATGATGACAATGATGATGACAAGGACAATGAAGCATCCTTTACATTACAATTGAAAAAAATGTCAACTCAGGCATTTTAAATTTACATAAAAATAAGCAAAATTTCTGTGCAGAGATCTTGGATTAAAGAACAGAACAGCATGACATGAGGTTTAACATCACTAAGTTGGATTTGAGTTCTAGCTTCTATAGTTTCATGATTTTTTTTTTCATAGAATGATTGGGGTACAGGAAAGGGCCATCAGAGGATTCACCAGAGACAGAATGGGGAACAGAACAGGCAGATGTACTGAAATACACTGCTGAGGGAGCAGTAGGCGGGACAGGAGAGGTCTGCTGCGCCATGTGGGTCACCTCCCTGGCCCCGATCGAACTCAGGCCAAAGCCAAGATAGTCCTGCCACTTGACCCCAAGCCACCAGGGAGGCCCCTTATTCATGAAACTTAAGAACATCATTTAAATCATCCTGAGTTCTTCCTCCAATAAGCCTAGAGAACAGAAGGTGGAAGCTGGATTGCTCCTGAAAACACCTGCTTTCTGTAAGCCAGGGAACGGTCCACAAACTAGCCTACTAGTGGGGAGTCCCGCACCTCACTCGCATGGAGCTAAGAACCCCTCATTTGGACCCACCTTCACTGGCGAGGTCTGAAAAAGCGGCTTCTGGTCGCATGCCTTTTGGGCTCTGCGGGCATCCCTCGCTGAATAAAACTTGACGATGGCATAGAAACCAGGGCAGGCCACCGCAGCGTTTGGGAAGACTCGGACTGAGTACAGAAGGCCAAACTGGGAGAAGACTGTGGACAGAGAATGCTGTGGGGTGACCCACATGAATTAAGTGCCGACATTTCATGCCTGGGACACAAAATTTCCCCTTCCCCTACATTCTCCAAGCCTTCTCCGCAAGCAACCGTAGGGAGGACGCGGAACACTTGTCGTTTCGTGGAGGTTTCGCCTGAAATCCTACAATTCGAGAAGCATCACAAAGCAACGTGTGCTGAGAGTTTAAAGTTACCAGCTGCTGACTCCGGCGGTCCGGGCCAGAACTAAGATTCCTCCGAGCGGGGCTGCAAGGCGGGTGGCGAGAGCTGAGCGGGGCTCCCTGACCCCCAGGCCCGGGCCGGGGCGGCTTTCTCCATCCCTCCCGCCCCCTTGGTCCAGCTCACATGCAAAGCCTCGGCCGAGGGTCCGGCGCTCAGCTCCCACACCAGTAAGGTTTTGTCACTCTCTGTGGGGACCTCAAAGGGGACCACCTCCGCCATTCCACCGTCCTGGCGCGCGGTGACGGCTTCGGCGCCACTACGCCTGCGCAAAGCACGACCGCGCTTTTTTTAAACGGGCGCGCGCGTGGGGCGGGGCCATCTCGTCGGAGGCGGGGCGAGGGCCGCACTCGGCCCGCCCCTTCCGCCCCGCCCACTCCGGGTGGCTGCCTGAGCTCGTCTTCCTTCTTCAGCACCACCTGCCTCTGCGCAGTTCCGTGCGCACGTTTGAGTCCGAACTGGTTCCGCTGAAGGGACCGGCCAGGTTATAGCAGCCGGTTCGGAAGTCACTCCCGGAAACCAGAGCATCGGGTGGTTAGCACAGCCCTCTCGACTTTGAAGTAATGAACCTGCCGGCTGTGCGTGGGAAATGGTCACGAAAGATGCAGTCATTTGACTCAGTGTTTGCAAGGGTTTTAAATATGCAAATCAAGCTACAACTCAAGTCATTAACTGTCTGAGATCTTAAAAAAACAACTTCTGGGCCCTCCCTGGTGGTGCAGCGGGTTAAAGCACAGCCCTGAGAATCTAAAGCCGCTTCCGCATGAGTTCGATTCCCGCCTGCCCCGGAGGAGACCACATGGCGTGGCAGACCTCTCCTGACCCGCCCGCTGCTCCCCTCAGCAGTGTGCTTCATCGATCTGCCTGTTCTGCTCCCCACTCTGTCTCTGGTGAAGCCTCTCACCGCCCCTGAGCCTCTGGCCTGTATCCCAGTTCTGTATGCACAAATAAATAAATCTTTAAAAACAAACAAACAAACAAACAAACAAAAAACAACTTCTGGGCCCTTCCTGGCGGCTACCTCAGCCTGAGTTTGATCCCTGGCCAGGGAGCTGACCCACATGGCGCGGCGGCAGGTCTCTCCTGTCTCACCCACTGCTCGCCTCAGCAGTGGACTTCATCAATCTGTCTTTCTGCTCCCCGCTGTCTCTGGTGAATCCTCTCACACCCTACACCTCTGGCCTGTACCCCAGTTCTGTGTGCATAAATAAATCTTAAAAAAAAAACTCCTTTATTTTCCTACCTACTTGGAATGAATTGTGTACGTGTGTTTGTAGGGGTGGCATGATGTGGGATGATGAGGGAGGCTGAGAAGGAAAAATAAATTCGAAGGAATCATAGTCCAAGTGGTCACCAACATCAGAGCTGACGGTGCCTGAGAATGGAGGTTCTAGGGAATCTGATAGTTGTTTGGCGGAGTAACTTACTGAGGTGGAAAATTAGGTCCTAAAGATTCCTTAGGGGGAAAAAAAGATTTATTTATGCATAAAAAGAACTGGGGTTAGGCCAGAGGCACCGGGGCTGAGAGGATTCACCAGAGACAGTGGGAGCAACACAGGTGGATCCACTGAGATACACTGCTGAGGGGAGCAGTGGGGAGACAGGACAGGTCTGCTGCGCCCTGTGGCTCAGCTCTGGGGCTGTGGGCTCAAGTTACGCTGAAGGGCTGCAGCCAGCTTGCAGTGCTGTGCTTTAACCCTCTGCACCACCAGGGAGGCCTATTATCTAGAATTAGCCCATTCTCCCAAGCACCCCAAATCACTGGCACTTGATGTTTCTTCTCCGCCCCATGGCTACTTACCCCACCTTAATGCTGACCCTGAGCTTCACCTATTACCTACTTCTGAGTTTTCTTTTTACTTCAAAAAATGGTATTTTAGAGGAATTACTCAGATCCTGATAGTGCTTCCAACCAATAATAGTAGATTTTATCACTTGTCCCATCTCCATTGCCATTATGCCTATATTTCTCTGCTTCATCTACAGCACAAACACCCTAAGAACAATAGCTAGTTCTTTTTTCTTATTCCAGTAATTAGCATGCTGTACTCGATTAAACACTCAATTGTACATGAAACCAGTCACGAGTAAGTTAACACTTCTTTGCACAAGGAACATTTTAATAGCTCCAAAAACATAGAAACATCTTCACTGTGGTCCTCTTGGTTTGCAAATGTCAGGAACGAGGGACCTGGGCCTGCATGGAAACAAGAAGGCAGGCCTAGAAAACCACTTATTCCTGGGGCTTCCGGCGTTTGCTTTGTAAATGGGGAGGGAACGACATGGAGTGGAGGCAAGAGGAAGAAACGAAGATGTCCAGGCGAGGAGAGGCGTTCTGGAAGGACCCACAGTGGGCCTGCTCAGGTCTCATTCCAGGTGGCACCCTGTCAACCAGTAGGAAAGTGGGTGGCCTGCGCAGTGCAGCCTCCATCTGACCCTGAGGAGAGAAAGATCGGTTCTTGCTTTCCATGCAGTAGCGGCTTCTCCACAGCACGATGGACTCTTCAAGAACCTCCCCTGCAGGGCAGCCTGAGCCCCTCCACCAGAGCGCTCTGGTGTGCCTCTGACCTGTCTGGTCCTTTACATCCCCTTCATCCGGGCATTTGCCCTCCCCCGCATTTAGGTGCCTTCACATTTGCAAATCTTCATCTTCCTCTGAAGGGAGCACCTGCTATGTTGTTACAAGGCTGAGAGCTGGTGGGAAGAAATCCCAGGTGCAAGCTCAACTCTCCTGCAGAAAGGGCCCTTCCTAGTGGTGACTGTGTCCCTGCTCTGCAGGGTGTTTGCTCGGCAACTTCCATTGCCACAGTAACAAGGAGAAGCAACGTTTGCATTCTTTATATATTCTGCTTGGAGCTCAGGAAAGTGACGTAACCATCCTGATGTCCACCACCGCCACTTTGGGAGTGCCTGGCCAGTCAATAAGACACACACTTATTACAGAAAATGTTGCTGTCAGTTATCCTCGCATGATGTCACTGTCCCTGTACTGACAGCTGATGAAATAAGGAGGGCCCCAGGGTCTAAGCTGAACCCTCAGATTTCTACTCCAGGTACTTGAATTGGTTGCTTCAAACACTAGCCTGTCAACTTGGGGTTGTTGTAGTCTGTCTTGTTGACTGGGGAGTCCAGAAAACTGGCTTGCACAGGGTGCAAGGAAGCCTATCCCCCAGAGAGGCAGAAATTTGGTGGGAAGCTTACTGATATTTTTCAGCCCTGTTTTCATTCTCTCCCAGAGACCCCCTAAGCTGCCTGCGTGGGTTCAGCAAGGTGCCTGGTCGTCTCAGAATGCATCCACCTTAGCTAGTTGAAGTTCTGTTACACAGCTGAGTGAATTTCATGTATCATATGAGAGAAAGAACCAGGCCCCAGGTCTTCGGAGCCTGAGTTCTAAGCCTCTCCCGGTCCTTCGCTTTTCTAGACTTTGCAAAGTAGTCCTTGCCTGTGACCCCTTTCTCTGACACTGCATCCTGCTGGGGGTCCCCTAAAGTAGCCCTCCAGGGTCCTCACCAGTTCCTCATCCCGCCTGCTTTAGACACAATCTTTTTTGCACAGCTGATGGATGAGAGAAGACTGGGGCTCAGCAGGTCTGAAAGGCAGAAAGAGAAGACCAGTGAGAGCATGCAGGGCAGCCCCCCCAAATGGGCAGCTGCAGCGCTCCCTGCACTGGCTCGCCCTGCCCAGAGCTGAGCACTTCTAGATTTGGCAAGGCCTCTCTCCCAGAGGCCCTGTAGACGCTGGAGGCTGGGGGTGAGGGTGAGGGGCGCAGAACTACTCTGGACCTGTTTGTATCATAGTGGGTACTTGCTCACTTGGGGTTTCTGGGGAAAGGAAATGTCAAAACGGCAGCAGAGAGACTAAGGTAAGGCCCAGCCTACGGAGGGTCCTCAGTGAGGAGCCCCGGGACACTGGCCAGAGCCCTGGAGCACCCTGTACTCACTCCCAGGCGGGAAATTTGCTCTTGGCCTCTGGTCAGTCCCTTAGCCAAAGACAGAACATCTCAGTGGGTAGAGCTGAGCCTTTGGGGTCTTGGTGTGGCGTGCAGCACTCTTTGTATGTGCCTCAGTTTACTCCTCTGTAAAGTGGGGATTGCACTAGTTTCTACTGTGGGGAGCTGAATGGCGTGAGCTCTGTATGTCACGGGCTGGGCACACAGTTCGCGCTGAATCAATGTCAGCTGTTGCCCGGCCTTGCTCGTGCCGGGCGGGCAGAGCCTTGCTGGACCCTGCGCCCTGCAGGGGGGCCACTCATCAGGCCTTCTGCTCAGGAAGGGGAGTCCCTGGTGCTTTCCCATCCTGTGAGTGGAGCCTGGTCCTCTCTCACCTCTCCCACCCGGGGGCCCTGGCCAGACCTTGACAGTCCATGTGACAAATGTTTTCCGAGTGACTCCGGAAGTCATTGCACCAGTAGTGGCTGTTGATCTGGAAGATGCCATAGTCAAAGCTGCCGTCAGCATTTTCATTTACCTTTGATGCGTTGAAGTTGCTTTCCACAGAAGCCAGGCAGAGCCCTGAGGATGAGGGGTGAGGGAGAGGGTTTTTAGAGGCCATGCTGGGGGAGAAGAGAGATGGAGGGGAAGGGAAATGAGGAGTCAGAAGAAGGGAAGCAGGCCTCAGAGGTCTGCTGGGGCTAGAAGTCCCTGTCAGCGTCTCTCATTCTTCCACCCACCTGTCCATCCACACTCTGTACATCTAATAACCACCTAAGGTGTGCCAGGAACTGTGCAAAGCCCAGTGAGAGACTTTTACAGGTGAGGGTCAAATACGGGTGCTGGCTTCAAGGGGCCTGTGTCTGAGAATGACTATAGGTACCAAAATAAACCACAAAACAAGGTGAAGGGAGCAGGTGGGAGACAGGTATGTGCAAATTCTGGCCAAAAGACGGACTCACTGCCATGGAGTAGATGAAGTATTTGTACTGGATGTTCCCTGCTGCCCAGAGCGTTCTTCTCCCAGGCATTTGGGTAACCAAATGTTTATTCAACACTATTCAATGTCACCTCCTCAGGGAGGCCCTCCTTGACTTCCCCTGACTGCCCATCATCCCCCGCCTTATTTTTCTGTACACCATTTATCACTCGCAGGAAGTATTTCATCTGTTTATGTGTTCATGGCCACTTCTTCTCCTGGGACGTGACTATTATGAGGGAGGGGGCTCTGTTGATAATCCCAGCACCTCAATAGTTCCTGGTACCAATAAGTGCTCTTAGTAACTGCTGCATGCATACAGGAAGCTGAGAATGGCCTGTTCACAACAGATGCTTCTTGAACTTGGCTTTGAAAGCGGAATTCAAGAAACAGAAAGACTGTCACATAGGGCTTGACCAGGAGGGAAGGTGGAGTGGGGGTGACACTCACAGTCGTTCAGGGTGTAGCCCTCAAGTCCTTCTACCTCCTCCTCATGCAGCACCTTGGCCAGGAAACAGCGCTTGATGAGCATGGCCTGGTTTGTGGCCGCGAGGCAGCTGACCAAGCAGAGGAGCAGCCCACTCGACATCCTTTGTGGAGAGAAGGTGCAGTTGACCCTGTGGTTATCGGGGTGTCTTCCTGGTCTTCCCTGAGAGTCAGAGGAGTCTGGAGAGAGCAGCAAAATATCCTCACTCACGGCTCCCCACCTAGCTGCCGCCCACATCTTTCCCTTCATGCGTAATTTTATCATTACTTGCTTATTTTCTTAAAATTTACAAGAGAAGAGAACAGTATCGGGAGACTGACTCTACATACCCATTGCCCAGCTTCAAATTAAAACCCAAGGCTGATCTTACTTTGCAGGTTTCCTCTTATCTACACACGGTCTTGTTGCGGTACCCAGCTATGGGCAGTATTTGGGTACAGGGGTGGGGTGTGAGGATGAAAAAGTAGATTAATGGGAACACCCCTGTGTGTGTACACATTCCCCCTTAAATTAAGGGGGTGTTCCTGAATGCAAAGGCCTGGGCTCCCCCACTTTCTACTCAGCCCAAACAGCTGCCTGATGGCGTGGTTGGTGCTGTCTCCTAGGCTGAGCCATAGAGCCTGAGCCCCCCTCTCCAACTCTGGAGTTGCCAGATGTAGCAACTGAAATTAAGGGATCTCCAATATGTCACAATGTCAGAAAAGCAACAAATAATTTTTTAGTCTAAGTGTGTCTCCTCCAGCCATCTCCCCCTGCTCACTAGGTAGCTTCCTTCCCACACAGGCATTGCTGGGGGAGAAGCAGGAAGCTCCATCTCTTCCTGTGATGTGCCTCTTAGGGCTCCTTTAGTGTAGACAGGGGTTCTGGCAGGTGCATGCCCAGCCCCACCTGGAGCTTACCTTTCTCCTGCCCCTCTCTGACTTCAGGTCCCAGCCAGTCCAGGGCTTTATGCCCTTTGCAGCAGGAGCAGCCGCTTCCTCATAAACTCTATACTCTGTCCCTGCCCTGTTCACAGCTCCTCATGTTCTATAGAAGGTGGGTATGCCACTCCTGCCTTCTGGAACCCCGTTCTGTGACATCACCACCTCCTGGGAAAAGCTCTCTCTTAACCATGTGAATTGGCTCAGCCTTGAGGCTTATCCAAGCTCAGCTCTGGGCAGAAGAGAGTGAACGGCGGGGAAGGAAAGGGAGGATGGTGTCAAGCGCCAGGGGGTGGGGCGGGAAGGGCTCTGCTGTCCTGTCCGCCTTCCTTCCTTCCTTTCTGGACATAGTGTGGCTTTATTGGGGTTGCACGTCACAAGGTTCTACCCCTGCAGGTGACGGGGTGTGCCAGCACCCAACCTGCATATTTTGAATTAAAACCAAGTGAAGCAGCTCAGCTTCTCACAAGAAGCCTGGACCAAAGGGCGACCCATTTAGAATCATGTGGGCATGGGGGGGCCCGCAGAGTGCAGACAGGAGTCCAGATCCAAAGCCCACGCTTCCAGAGACCTAACCACACCCTTGTCCTTAACACTGTCCTGGGATTCAACGCTGTCCCTTTCTGAGTAGACAGATTTGAGCTGAGTTTTGGAGACAGGAGACCTGTCTGTCAGAGTGGGTGAAAACCTGTGAACCAGTGTGACCTGCTGAATTACCGGGTCAAAATAAAATCTGGAATAAAGGCTTATAAAATAATAAAAATGGCAAATCCCTATCAAGATTCTGAAATTTAACCCAAGCTGTATTTAGAGGTAAATTCATAGCCTTATTGTTTTCATGCAAATAAATGAAAAAACAAATGAACTGAGCATTCAGTTAGGAAAAGAGAACAGACACATTTCTAAGGAAAACAAGAAGAAACAAAGTATAAGAATGATATGCATGTTCTACTCAGTGGGCTGGAGCTAAGAAACAGACTAGAGAACCTGAATATTATAGGACTCCCCATTTGCCATGGGCCTCAGATCCTACTCCATAGCACCAGGGCTGGATAACGGAATTCTTCAAAGTTTTTGGAATGAGTTTCTTGCCCCAGGACAGGCCACTTTAAAGCCAAAGTTTACCACGGACAATAGGAGCCTTTAGTACTAAGTCAGATGGTAGTTGATCCAAAGGTAAGTATAACTGAAGGTCATATTATTAGTGCAAGGTTCTAAAGCCTTTGTTACCTTAAAGGCATTGCTAAACACTTTCTTCCCCAAAATTACACTCCCGGCTGAGCAGGACAGAGCAGGGCCAGTGCTGCCCCCTAGTGTACAGAGTGAGAAAGAAGTCTCTGTCTTCATTTTTGCAAAGTGTCCGTGCAAAGTTTGGATTGTGCTGTGAGGTGTTAGACACGTGAAATACAAATATACCTTGAGAAGCCAAAATGGTCCCTTAGTGAAAGAATCAGGGTAAGTGATAGATTGGCAAGATCCCATGGTGGTCCAGTCCAAAAACACCATTTATGTAACAGAAAGAAACGAGAGGAAACAAGCACTGGGGAGGTTTTGGAGGAAAAGAAACCTCTGTCCGCAGTTGAGGGCATGTGAATTGGTGCAGCTGCTACCAAAAAATAGTATGAAAGTTCCTCAAGAAATTAAAATTAGAACTATCATGTGATCCATTTCACTTTTTTTTTTTTTTAAGATTTATGTATTTATGCATACAGAACTGGGGTACAGGCCAGAGGTGCAGGGAATGAGAGGATTCACCAGAGACAGTAGGGAGCAGAACAGATAGATTGAGGAAGTACACTGCTGAGGGGAGCAGCGGGCGGGTAAGGAGAGGTCTGCCGTGCAGTGTGGGTCACCTCCCTGGCCCGGGATCGAACTCATGCTGCAGCATATGCAGATAGTTTCACAGCTGCGCTTTAACCCTTTGCACCACCAGGGAGGGCCCCCATTAATTTCGCTTCTAGGTATCTATCAGAAGACTATGAAAACTTGAATTGGAAAAGATATATGCACCCTATGCCCACTGCAACACTATCCACAATAGCCAGGACACGGAAACAACCTAAGTAGACCTCTGGGTAAAGAAGCCATGGTGTATCCTGTGGAACACTACTGAGCCATTAAAAAGGTGGGGACTTGCCAGGTGATTTCACTTATATGTAGAATATAAAAAAGTAAAACCAACAAAACAGAACAAAGCCAAACTCTTAGATTCTGACAACAGAGTGGTGGTTACCAGAAGGGGAGGTGTTGGCAGGTGGCGGGGGAGGGGTTCCATTGTTTGGTGGCTGATAATAAGGAGATTTTGGTGTTCATGGTCAAGGTGTGAATCTGTATTCTGGGACTTTTACAGTTTGTTAAACAATGTTGTCTCAATTAAAAATAAGCTAAAATTAAACATGCTACTCTAATGGCCAACTGTGATAAATGATCCACTGAGCTACAATATGCTATACCTTATATATGCCATCTCTTCTCAATCCCAGTTGTAGCCTTCTGCACAGAAATCAAACAAACCTAGGCTCAGGTAATGCTAAGACCAGGTGAAGCCCCTGACGACATCATCATACGCCCAGTGAGCACCTATGTGGAACTTAACCTGTTCGGTTACTTTCCATTGGTTTCTCTTACATATTATTGTTAGGACATTATATTGAGTTAAAACTTGCTATCACTTTGAATGGATAAACAAATTGTGGTCCACTCATATGGAATATTACTCAGCCGCTAAAGAACATGAACTATGGTATGCACAACAATATGGATAGATCTTGAAATAATTAGGCTGATGAAGGTAAAGCCAGACCCCCCCCCAAAAAAAGGAGTACATTTTATTTACAGAAAATGTAAATTCATCTATAACAACTTGTGAATTAGTTGCTTGAGGATGGGGAATTTGTTTGGAAAGGGTGGAAGGAAAGATTACAAAGAGATTAAAAAGGGGTGCAAGGGGGGTGATGGACATGTTCTGTCCCTTGATTGTGAGGATGGTTTATTTCATGGGTGTACACAATCTCAAATATGATCCAATTGAACCCACAAATATGTGTTACTTGTATGTCTGTGACTCAATAAAGCTGCTTAAAATCTTCAAAATTACTATCATCACACAAAATGTATTTTATGAAAAGGGAGCTACAGCATGTCATGGCTGAGAACTCTGACACCAGGTGAATTCCAAAGTGGGGACAATTTCTCCCAAAGGCCAACTCTATGCGATATCGTTCTTGGCCACTAGAGGCCAGTAGTGGCTCACATTGCTTGCAGAGCACTACCGCCAAGAATTCCTCCTTAGGAATTCTAAAAGGGGCATGACTATACCCTGAGGGAGCTAGCCCTAACCTTTGGGCTGCAGTCTCTGACTCAGATTCCAGCCTGTTAGTCTGTCAACACTAACAGACCTCCTGTGTAACCGTGTCTTCAAAGGGGGGGTCCTGTCTCTGGTGGGGCAGCAGCCACAACAGGTGTGGGTCATTCACAGGCTTATTTGGAGTAGACAGAAATGGCGCCAAAGAGTTACAATTCTCAAGAGTTGATTCTCAGGCTCCAAGTACCCTCTGGACTGGTCTTCCATCTTGCCTGAGCCCCACTATTATAAGACAAAGCATGTTTCCATGATCAGAGGTTACAACAACACAGATTTAGCCAATAATTCCAAAGAATGATGCCAGGAAGATAATTTCTGTAAGGGGGTGGGGAAGAAGAGGTTAGGTTGAGGGTGGAGCACCACGGGGTGCTGCAATGGCGCTCTCCCAATAAAAACACTAGCTAGCACTGTTGCTGCGTCTCCCGTGTGGAGGCAGAAGGATAGCAGTGTGCACAGGGACTAATTTCAACTTCACGGCTCTGTTGCAAAGTAACTTGTAGGGAGGTGAAGTCACTCACCCAGAGTCACAGATCTAGCAGGTGGTTGAGCAAAAATTCACATCCAGATCTGACACAGACATGGAGCCTGAGGCCTCGTGGTTGCCTTACTGGAATTGTTTTTCTGCTCCTTGGGGCGGAGCTGTTAACAAACGGGTGTGTTAAAATGGCTGGAGTTGGTAGCAGGTGGTGGGTATTTTGATTTTCCTTCTGGAGAGAAAGCTCCTGATGTTTTAGAGTTCTCAGTACTTGCAGTAGTTCAGAAGGGACCAGTTATTTCTCCTCAGTGACTTGTTGAGCATTTATAGACAAGCGTGAAGTTCTGTGCTGAGTTGAAACTTCCATAACCACGGTGTTTGGAGGGCATGTGGGCAGATGCGGGCAGAT